CAGCGAGTCCATTCTTCCCGGCCTACACCTCCACCCCTTGCCCACCCCTTCCACCGTACTTCTAAGTCAGAGGTTCTCCACTGGGGGGGGGGGGCGTTGGCCCCAGCAGGACATTTGCAATGTCTGGAGAAGGTTTGGGTTGACATATTGGGGGTGGAGGTTGCTACTGGCATTTAGCAGGTAGAGGCCAGAGACACTCCTGAGCATGCTACAGTGCACAGGACAGCTTCCACGACAGAGAATTACCCGGCCCCAAATGCCAGCAGTGCCGAGGCTACGAGACCCAGATCTAAGGTGCTGGGGGAGACTGGGCCTGCCTGGCACTATTGACCCTGCAGGGTGAGCTACGAGTCCTGGAGAACTTTCGTGGCCCTGATTTCTGCTCTCTCCTCCTTGCACAGCTGCTTTTGCAAACTGTTTCCCTTTCCTCATCCTCCTGCCCCCTGGCCCTCAGCCTTCACTCCTGCACCTCCCCCTACACAGGGTCACCTCAGGCTGAGTGGAGGTGGGGTGGGTGGGTTTGGAGGGTGAGGAAGGCCTCACGCAGTGCCCCCCTGTGCCACCTAAAACCTCCCATCTGCTCGGCCAACCCTGCTCTTAACTGCCAGCTAATTTCTCTACCTGCATTCCAGATTCCTTTCAAACTCCTACCAGGTCGTCACTGCTTCCTGTGAGAATCACAACTGGGGCACCCAAACCAAAAACAAACAAAACGCCTCCCGCAGGTTTCTGGGCCCCAGTCTGCAGAGGTGCGTGTTCGGGGAAGCCGCCTGTCCAGCGAGCACCTTGGCTGACTTTGCTGAAGGCTGAACGACAGTCGGAGAAAAGCCCACGCTGGTCTTTCCATCCTCATTTTGCTCTTCCGCCATCGTCAGCATTTAGCCCAGAGTAACTATGAGTCAGGATCTGCTTTGAGGAGAGAAGGGGCGTAATCGGTAATGATACCTCATGAGTAGGTAGGGCCGGGATTGCCCGCGGCCACCTGGGAAGTATGGAAACCTAATTTTTAATTACCTTAAATTCCTCCCATTCTCATCTCACGTGTTCCTCATCAAAGAAGCCAAAAGTTAGTACCGACAGTAACAAGAACACTCCCTCTCCCTGCCCACCCACAGCCCAAGTTCAGGAGGGCGTGCCGTGGCCGCTGGGCGAGATACCCGGAGCGCCTGCAGGTGGGCGCGAAGGCACCACACCCCCACCACACCCCCACCATGCCCCCGCCCCTCCTCTGCCCCCAAGGCCCAACTGCTTGAAAGAATTGCCCCGCATTCACCACCTCCTCCAGCCGTGGCAACGTGGCTTCCCCCCCCACCGCACCATGGCCTTGCTCTGGCGAAGGGCGCCAGCCACCTCCGACTGCTGGGTGCAGGGCACTCGTCCCTCTCTCCCTCCCCCTGGCCCTGTGGCTAGGCCTGACCTGCTGCCCGCCCCTTCTAGATGGCTCTGCTTATGGCATTGCTGTGACATGCTGCTTTTTTATCCCCTTCCCGCTCCTCTGGGCATATCGTCTCCGTCCTCTGCTTGCACTTCCTTCACTCCACCTTTCTTTAAATTTTGCTTTTGAATGAATAAGCACGTGACGTCCTGCAGACCAGGGACAGATGGGGGAGTGGGCAGGCTTCCCGGAGGGTCTGGCCTCTTCCGCAACTTTCCCTTCGCTGCCTGGTGGGTGCGTCAGGAGCCAGGCAGCCCAGAAAGGCCTTGCGCCTCTCTCTCTCTGCTTCCAGTCTCTAGTCTTACCTTGTATGGGTCAAGAGATGACAGGAGGCCCTTTGGAGGCCCTCTTGGAGTCAGTCAGACATTGTTTGCATTTTGGGGGGTTGTAAAGATGAGGTCTATGCCTGGGACGGCTCTTCCCCAGGCCTGGGCTTGGGGAGGCAGAGAGCTGTGAGGCCCGGAGCTCAGACTCGCAGTCGGACGGTGCTACTTAGGCTCCAGCTTCCCCTGTGACTCGGGCATGGGGCGACCTCTGAGATCCACTTTCTCTTCCACACAGTGGGATGACAGTGGCTAGCACACAGGTTGTGAGGACAAGACAAGATGGTACAAAAGCAGATAGCCACATGCAGTTGGGGCTTGATGGATGGCTGCTAGTGTCTCCAGCCCGTGGGCAGAGGGGGTGCCAGGCAGCTCCTGAGAGTGAGAAATGCAAGCTGAGGCGCCTGGAAGGAGTGTTCAGCACAGAATGAAGCTGTGGCCTCCTGGGAGTCCGTATGGTCTGCAAATAGGAATGAATGAAGACCGGGTGGCAGGGGTGTCCCCGTCAGTGCAGTGCGTCTTCCTGGGCATGGCCCTTTCTGGCACCCTGTGCGCCTGTGTTTGTTAGGTGTCTCATTCCTATCAGAGTGTCAGTTTCTTGAGGTCGTGGGCTGTGCCTGTCACCTGTCACATTCCCATTACCTGGCCTGCACTTGGCACATGGTAAGTGGCCAAAGTACACGTTGATTGTCCCTGGAAAAGGCATTCAGGGGAGGAGAGCACAATAAGGGTCCTGGGAATGAGAAATCTGAAGGAATGAAATTGTTAGATGCCCCTCTCCCCTGGAACTCAGGCCCTAAAGCAGTAGCCAGCTTCCCATGCTTACCCCCACTGGGGCCAGGGCCGTGTTTGCTTCCTTTCTGGCCCCGAAGTCCCCAACCAGAGCCTGGAGGTGGGGCCGAGACACTGCAGGATGCTTTGTGCCCTTCTGAATCAAGAAGGAGAGGGGCAGGAGGGGAAACCAAGGCTTGGGGACAAAGCCGCTGCCCTCCCTGGTGTCCTTCAGGGCTGTCTGAGCCGGGAGGCTGGGGGAACAACGTGGTTGGGAAGGCTGAGGCCTGCTCTCTGCTGGGAGGGGCTGCGGGCTCTCCACCTGCTCCCCCGGGGCAGATGCCTCTTGTCCCTCTGGGGACAGATCTGAAGCAGGTGGCATAGAATACATGCCCACTAAATAGCAGCGGCTGTAATTACTGTTTATATCAAGTGTATCTCCCGAGATCTCTGGAGCCCTCAGGAGCCTGGGGAAAGGTTGGGGGTGCAGGGTCTGGAATCTGGGAGCTGTTTTGTCCAGCAGGTTTTCCACAGTGGGTCTGGGGTGTTCCTGTGGACAGAACCTAAAGCAGGAGGGATTGACTGGTTGGCTGTGGGCTGCTCTTCTGCCTGCCCCAGAAGAGCACCTGGGGAGGAACCCAAAGGCTCACCTATGTCTGCTCAGGTGACGTCCTGCCAGGCTGGTGGCACTTTCCAGGGACTCACCACTGATAGCTGGAGGGGAGCTGTGTGGCAGTGCCCAGGGAGATGACCAAGGGCCCCAAGGAGACCCTCAACTAGGGGACTTGGGGCCCATGGGAGAGGCGTCTCAGAGGACTCAGGGACATTCCATTTGGAGCAGAAGAGACCCAGGAGCCTCTGTCTTCACGCACTGCATTCCAGGAGATTGTAAACGTCTTGAGAGTAGAAGCCTTAGGTGGATCTTGTATCTTTGTGTCTGCAGCTCCTGGCTCCTGCTTAGACTGTCTGTGGGGCAGTGAGTTCCCCATCTCTGGCCATGTTCAAGTCCCCGTCTCTGGCTGGGAGGAGGGGCAGCCCCTCAGGAGGTGCGTCAGCTATGAAACCACATTTTGTGGTATCCATGTGTGGCCAAGAATTGCAGTGTGTGGGTGGGTTTGTGGGTGTGATAAGGGGGGAGTCATCTCTCCATTAATTGGGCTGTACTGCCGACCTCTCCACCTTCTGCTCCTCTCCAAGACCCTTCCCCTCTCCTTTCTCCTACTCTCAGGCGTCAGCCTCAGAGCCCCTCTACCCCTGCAGTGCAGGCTCAGGGAGTGGAACAACTGTCACAAGATGAATGGACCCAGGCCACTTGACTCAGATCCCAATCCTGGGTTTCCCTGAACACATGCTTTGATCTCCTAGGTGTGAGCTCAGCTGCCTTTCTTGTCCAGGCTGAGAGAGGGACAGGTCCCCTCCCTTTATCCTGGAAGCTGGAGTATGGAGGGTCACACCCTCCTGGGCTTCCTCCCCACCTGGGTGGAGGGGCTTTGGTTAGAGGAAACATTCTGTTATCCAGTACGGTGATCCTGCATGTGGGTGATACCCCTCGACTTTATGTGTGGGCAGGGAGGCGTAGAGGTTGAGAAACTTGAGGTCAGAAACAGCTGGAGAACATTCTAGATCAGGGTTGGAAGGCTCCCTGGAGCTTTCTGATGGAGGAACAGTCTCTCGGGGGACGGGTGAGCTGGTGGAAGCTGGCCTGCTCAGGCACTAGGAAAAGAAAGGAGAAGGGGTTTGAAAGCTACTTCCTGGACGTGCATACTTTTTCTTTTTCTTTTTTTGAGACAAGAGTCTCACTTTGTTGCCCGGACTAGAGTGCCGTGGCGTTAGCCTCACTCACAGCAACCTCAAACTCCTGGGCTCAAGCGATCCTACTGCCTCAGCCTCCCGAGTAGCTGGGACTACAGGCATGCGCCACCATGCCCGGCTAATTTTTTCTATATATTTTTAATTGGCCAGTTAATTTCTTTCTATTTATAGTAGAGACGGGGGTCTCGCTCTTGCTCAGGCTGGTTTCAAACTCCTGACCTCGAGCAATCCGCCCGCCTCGGCCTCCCAGAGTGCTGGGATTACAGGCGTGAGCCACCCGCACCCGGCCAGCCAGGACTGTTAAATTGTAGCCACCAAGCATTATTGTTACCCACGCAGAAAGGTTAGCCAAATATTTTGGCTGAATAGTTCCCATCTTGTTTCTGAAGCCAGCAATCTGCGAAGCTTTGGGGTGCCTAATCTGAAGCTTATTGATAAAACACAGTTTCTTTGAGGACTCAGAAGGTACTAGGGGTAATGCCAGTAACTTGCTCCAGGCTGAGCGGAGACCACTTGATCTTCCGCGGCATCGTTTTATCTCTCCAAGGCTTTAGCATAGAGCCCTTCCCAGCGGCCCCACCGCCGGGCCACGCCCGCCGGCCACGCCTGCCACACCCCCGCACCTCGCCCCCGGGTGACTTCCCGCTCTGTGTCCACAGGCTGCTGAGCAGGATGTCCGCAGACGACCGGCACCTGGGCTCCAGCTGCGGCTCCTTCATCAAGACTGAGCCGTCCAGCCCGTCCTCGGGCATCGATGCCCTCAGCCACCACAGCCCCAGCGGCTCATCCGACGCCAGCGGTGGCTTTGGCCTGGCCCTGGGCACCCACGCCAACGGTCTGGACTCGCCGCCCATGTTCGCGGGCGCTGGGCTGGGAGGCACCCCGTGCCGCAAGAGCTACGAGGACTGTGCCGGCAGCATCATGGAGGACTCGGCCATCAAGTGCGAGTACATGATCAACGCCATCCCCAAGCGCCTGTGCCTCGTGTGCGGGGACATTGCCTCCGGCTACCACTACGGCGTTGCCTCCTGTGAGGCTTGCAAGGCCTTCTTCAAGAGGACCATCCAAGGTGCGTGCTGCGCAGCGGGGGCCTGGGCCCAAGGGGTAGAGGGCTGGCGCCCGACCTGAGGGTCCAGCAGGAGACCCAGGGATTCCCGGGGCTGCGGGGGCTGGGTGTCCCCAATCAGGGGGTGTGAAGGGCTCCTTCTCCATGGCTCAGGGTTTCTCGTGCTGGGATTCTGGGCAAGGACATGCACCCCACAATACAGCACCCCAGAATATACACACGAATGCCAAACCCTGGGTGCCTGTCACCTGTGTGGGGTACACTGTCAAATGTGTGCTCCTCAGAAAGTTTATTTTCTGGGGGAAAAAATAGCATCATTTTCCCCATGATTCCAGACTTATGAAATATAAAGGGTCCCTACGGTGTTTTTATCTTTTTGAATGGTGCCACTAAGATGTGAATGATTTTCTCATTGTAAAAGACTCAGGCCTGTCCAATTCAGGACAGGAACTCACCCTGTCTGAATCCCAGTTTGACCTGTTTTTTAAACCTTTTATCTTTCTCTCTTTGTCATTCGGGCTAGAGTATAGTGACATCATCATAGCTCCCTAAAGCCTCAAACTCCTGAGCTCAAGTGATCCTCTGGCCTTACCATGCCTGGCTAACTTTTTCTATGTTTAGCAGAGACAGGGTTTCACTCTTACTCAGGTTGGTCTCGAACTTCTGACCTCAAGTGATCCTCCTGCCTTGGGCTCCCGGAATGCTAGGATTACAGGCATGAACTACCATGCCTGGCCTTCTCTCTTTTTTAAAGACAGGATCTCACTCTGTTGTCGAGGCTGGAGTGCAGTGGCGTGATCGTAGCTCACTGCAGCCTCGAACTCCTGGGCTCTAGCGATCCTTCTGCCTCAGCCTCCTGTAGCTGAGACTACTGGCCTGTGCACTGCCGCACCCTTAAGCCTTTTTTCAAAGCATTTGCTTATCAGCTGAGTCACATTCCAATGGCTATGGGGGTAACAGCTTCTATCCGTGGGTACTGGAGTGACTCTCTGATAACTGAGTGCAAGACCCCTGGTGGGTCCCTCTGTAAAGTCACCAGGAAGTAAAATAGGGATCATGGGGCATCTGCCCTCACAGGGCTGCTGTCAAGTTCATGGCACAGAGAGACTGCTTGCACACAACGTCTGTGATTCTGACTGTGGCAGGCCCTGCGCAGGGCACTTGCTTTCATTTAGTCAGTCAAATATCTACTGAGCATCTACTACACACCAGGCACAGCTCTAGGTGCTGGTGACAGGATAGACAAAATCTCTGCTTGTGCAGGTGACTGAGACAAACTGATGCCATCCCACTGGGACAGAAGCTGCAAACCAGCCTGGAGAAAGCCCAGGGGACACCCCATCCTGCTGCAGGATGAGATCCCTCCTCCAAGACCCTGCCTGGCTGTCCCTGGGGCGTTCTCTCCCCTCCTCCCAGGCTGAGCAGGCTGAGCTTCTCTGGGATGATTCTGTTTATTCATTCAACAAGTATTTATTTGTTTAAATTTCTTCAGATGACAATCTATTCATTAAGCCAACTGAGGGCATTAGGATTGGACATGTTCCCAATTCTACATATTAGTTGGGACGGTGTGGTGGGTTGGCTGACCAGTAGGGCTCCTGGGCAGACAGTTACCTTATATCTGAGCCTTGGGCATGCTGCCTCAGTTTCTCTCTGGGCTTCAGTTTCTTCACCTGTAAAATGAGATCTTGTTCCTACCTCACATAGAGCTGTTAAGAAGCTTAAGTGAGTGACTATGTATAAAGCACTTAGAATATTGCCTGGCACCAGCAAGTGCTAAATAAATGTTTGCAATTATTATTTTCATTTTAACAATACTAAAACAAGAGACATGCACTTTAACTTACAGAACAAGCTTTTGTAATCTACATATATTTAAATAAAACAGTATAATTCTTATTTTGATCTAACAGGATTTAGATTATTTGAGCTATTTTAGTTTTAAATAATATTTTTTTTTTTTGAGACAGAGTCTCGCTTGTTGACCAGGCTAAAGTGAGTGCCGTGGCGTTAGCCTAGCTCACAGCAACCTCAAACTCCTGGGCTCAAGCAATCCTTCTGCCTCAGCCTCCCGAGTAGCTGGGACTACAGGCATGCGCCACCATGCCCGGCTAATTTTATATATATATTAGTTGGCCAATTAATTTCTTTCTATTTATAGTAGAGATGGGGTCTTGCTCTTGCTCAGGCTGGTTTCGAACTCCTGACCTCGAGCAATCCACCCGCCTCAGCCTCCCAGAGTGCTAGGATTACAGGCGTGAGCCACCTCGCCCGGCTAGTTTTAAATAATATTTTTTAAATGAACTTTTAAAAAATAAACATGCTAAAAATTAAAAGAGTAGGACAAGTTTTCCTAAAACTCCACACTGTAATTCTCTTACCTATTCCAGATAGGTATCCCTTTACCAACTTTGTCCAGCGAATATTCCCTTCTGTATCAGGCACCGTGCTAGCCCCCAGGACATGCAAATGAATGCATCCTGGCCCCTGCCAGCTCTGTACTCCTGAGCCCGGGGAGGCTCTGGGATCGCTACATTTGAAGAGCGCTGCATGGTGATTGTTGTGTCTTGCCTCAGCCAGGCATGAGAACCTCCAGTCCGATGGTTTTCACACAAATCATTGGATATTTGACAAACATGAAATGTTTAAACCAATTTAAGTTACTGAGATAACATCTTTCTTTTTTTTTCTTGACAGAGTTTTGCTCTGTTGCCCTAGCTAGAGTACAGTGGCATTTTCATAGCTCACTGTAACCTCATACTTCTGGGTTCAAGCTGTATCCTCCTGTCTCAGCCTCCTGAGTAGCTGGGACTGTAGGTGCATACCACCATGCCAGGCTAATTTTTTCTAATTTTTGTAGAGATGTGGACTCCTCTTGCTCAGGCTGTCCTTGAAATCTTGGCCTCTGCCTCCCAGAGTGCAGATAGGTGGGAGCCACCACTCCTGGCTCATTTTTCTATTTAAATTGGAAAGTAGTCTTGGTGAAATTATGCTTATTTTAGACTCTTTGAGGTCAGTTTTGGAAAAATTGCTTTACTTTTTTTTTTTTTTTTTTTTTTGAGACAGAATCTCACTCTGTTGCCTGGCTTAGAGTGCCGTGGCATCAGCCTAGCTCCCAGCAACCTCCAACTCCTGGGCTCAAGCGATCCTCCTGCCTCAGCCTCCTGAGTAGCTGGGACTACAGGCATGCACCACCATGCCCAGCTTAAAAAAAAAATATATATATATTTATACACACACACACACACACACATATATATATATATATATTTTCTTTTAGTTGCCCAGCTAATTTCTTTCTGTATTTTTAGTAGAGATGGGGTCTCACTCTTGCTCCGGCTGGTCTTGAATTCCTGAGCTCAAATGATCCACCCACCTCGGCCTCCCAGAGTGCTAGGATTATAGGCGTAAGCCACCACGCCTGGCCAAAAATTGCCTTCAGAAGACAATCCCATTTTCTCCTCTCCATATCCTTCCATGGGCTGGAGAGTTCCGAGTCAGTGGCAGCTGGTGTGCGTAAACTCAGAAACCCTACTCGATAGAGGCCCAGGTGGCTGAGAATGTCCTCAGCAAGGCAGAAGTCCACAGGAAAGACTTGTGCATAGTCTTAACTATTGGCTACCGTGAATAGGATAATGATCTCTTCGAAGAAGTCAAAAAACAAACAGCAGCATTTGTGCAGTCGGAACTGAACCGCTCCTAGAAAGAGGCTTATACCCAGAACAGGGAAAAGTAAACTCTGACAGATTACTCAGGTTATTTTATTAACTCTTTGGTTTATTTTATTTTATTTTATTTTATTTTATTTTATTTTATTTTATTTTTGTTTTTTTGAGACAGAGTCTCGCTTTGTTGCCCAGGCTAGAGTGAGTGCCGTAGCATCAGCCTAGCTCACAGCAACCTCAGTCTCCTGGGCTCAAGCAATCCTCCTGCCTCAGCCTCCCAAGTAGCTGGGACTACAGGCATGCGCCACCATGCCCGGCTAATTTTTTCTCTATATATATTAGTTGGCCAATTAATTTCTTTCTATATTTATAGTAGAGAGGGGGTCTCGCTCTTGCTCAGGCTGGCTTCGAACTCCTGACCTTGAGCAATCCGCCCGCCTCAGCCTCCCAGAGTGCTGGGATTACAGGCGTGAGCCACCGCGCCCGGCCTCTTTGGTTTATTTTAACAAAGATTTAGATTTTGTTTTTCCTAAACATAATAATGGTAGAAAACATGGGAAAAATAGGAAAAGTATAAAGAGGAGAAAAATAATCTATACTTGGACAACCACACGGACAAACTAAGAACCGAGTGAGCGTTTATTGAGTCTCTGCTCAGATAAGGTACAGAGAAGAAACAGGAGAGAAGGGGACACAGGTCCTGTCCCAGGAAGCTGGAATAGAACGCTTGGTGCCCATGAGTCTGTAGGCACAGCAGTGCGCTCTGAGCCAGGCCACCGTCTCCTCAGCACCTACCCGATTCTGGAGGTATTCAGGCCAGTTTTTCAAAGTCCAATAACTTGGGCAGAGGACTTTAGTCATGGAATGGTCCATTCACCAGTGTCCGTAATCGCTTGGGAAGCACTGAAAATCACGCCCGCTCACACCTTGCCTCCTCCTTAGATCACTTCTATCTGCTCAATCCTGTTGTTATCCAACATGGGAAGAAATTTTATAGAAACAAACATGTCATGATAGACTTAGGGAGAAAGCTCTTGGACAGGCATGTCCACAGATATTTATTGCATGCTCGCTGTACTATGGGGGTGGGAGGGGAGGGTGGGCAAACGGGAGCCTGCAGGCTGGCCACCTGCTTCTGTAAATCAAGTTTTGTTGTAACACAGACACACCTATTTGTTCACACACCATCTGCGGCTGCTGAATAGCTGCAGTAAAGACCTTTACCCAACAGGCTTGTGCCCCTCTGCATGCCAGCCAGCACTGGGCTTCTAATCAACCCCTAATAGTGCCTGTTAAGGGTTTATTCCAACTTTGCCCAATTGCATGCTATGAAAGGGA